TGGCAGAGTAGAGCTGCTACTTTTTCTGCTTCTGCTTCATGTGTTGTTTACACCGTGGCGGTGCCCACAGGCTCCAATAAGGATGCCATGCCCACTGTTTTGAGGACTCGACAGCTATGCAAGAGTATTTAGCTGCAAGTTGCTGTTGTTTATTACTTGTGCATAGGTTTCTATTTATATGTAGTTGTGTCTGTGCAGTATGTGAGCACGTGCACTTAATGCTCTTGATATAATGTTACGTTTTTATATATGTGTGTGTTTGCTTGTATGGCCCCACCCTAAACGGAGGCTAGTATCACTGTATAGATTTATGTAGCCACTTACCCTAATGGATTCATGGCTTTGGCTGCAGTTTTCAAATGTTTCCAATTCCTATCTGTACTTAGCATAGTGGAGGGAAGCAGACTAATGTGTCATGATGAGGATGACTTTTGACAGTGGTTGAGTGTCTCCTCCTCTGCCATGAGCTGAGTGCAGTGAGACGTGTGTGTGTGTGTGTGTGTGTGTGTGTGTGTGTGTACGCAGACAAGGTTCCTTGGGTGAATTTGATATCTTTTATTAGACCAACCCAAATGGTTGGAGAATAGTTATTAAGCAAGCTTTCGGGTTCAAAAACCCTTCGTCAGGCTCAGGAAGCTGCAGCAGTTGGTGTGTGCTCTTCCTGGATGGAATGAAAAGTAAAACCGTGTGTATGCATGCACATGCACACAACATCAGTAATCTGTCCTAGGATGGTGGGTTAATGGGTTACTAGCAAGTGACCTGATGGGTACCTAACTTCATTCTTCAGGAGGGTAAGGAAAAAGATGCCCCCTCCTTTCTTTCTCAAGATACATAAATCTTTTTCCCTCCTGGGATTTCTTGTCATTTTCCAATGCCATAAAAGATGCTTCTCCCAATGTATTTTGATTGCACTGTGCTCACTTAACTCCCCTGCTGCCTTGTATTATGGTCTGGGTTGCCTTTTTGGTTTTTGCTTAAGCAAGAATGGTTATGAAGGTAAGGAGCATATTGGGTGGGGGGGTTTCAGTCATTTTGAGATGGAGGGAGGAAATGAAGCAACAGCTAGTTGATCACTGAAATTAAATACTTGCATAACACTACTGGCATCATGGTATGGCTCTCTTAATAATCCCTCGTCCTTTGAGCAGCCATATGCTGGCTGCTTGGTCGCCAGGTTTGAACAATCAAATGCCGACCCTCGTATGCAGGATAGAACACAAATACTCAGTTCAGCTTTCTGATGAAAACACTAGAAATAAGTTGGAGGCAAGTTTATCTGTGTATGAGCATAGGTTTTGACTTTTATTCTTCTGTTTCTCAAGCTCATGTTGTATTTGCTTAAATAAGTAAATATCACTTTTAATATTCAGTGGTTTAGTATATGGGAAACGATAACATACCCACTGAATCCAGGTCAGTCTAGGCAGAGTTCCTTTGATATTGGAACAGAATGAATGACCCTGAATACTCACCCTGCTAACAAAGCATTAGATCCTTTGTGCATCCCCTTTACATTCCCATAAGAAGTTTTGAGGACCTATTTTATTGGTTAAATGTTGCTTTTTAACTGGCATGTCCTATTTGTGGCAAGTGACTCATATATGATATCTGGGATAATTTTGAGAAATAGGAAACTAGGTCTTGGTTATTAATTTTCCATTTTGATTTGCAGTAGTATCTCTCTTGATTGGCTGCTCCCTGACATGGTGGTTGAGTACAGCATAGTATTTGGCTGGAGAACCAACCAATCCTTTTATAGCAAATATGGTGAAGGTTTTTTTAATCATTTTGTAGATGTTAAAATTGATAAATAAAGCAAGAACGTTGCGCTAATATTTAAAGGAATATGTAAATCTTCAGGAATAATTAGGGACATTTGTTTAATATTTTCACGTTTGTCAAACAGTTGCACCATTTTTTTCTGAATAGCATGCAATATCCATGGAAAAAATATGAAGAAAGGATTTAATTATTTTCTTTGTTTCCCCAAGGTATAATTAAAATATGAATGACCACCTCTCTCCCACCAGTCTTTCTTCACTCTTTGTGATGACTGCTAATTTAGTCTAATAATACAAAGTGAATTGGCTCAAAACTCCTTTGAAATTCCATCTGTATATATGTGTTCAATCATGCCACTCTAGTCCACAAACCATCACATCTGCAGGATGAGCTTGTCACTGTTTGTGCCAATTCTGATTCCTTTGCTACTAATTTGTGATTCTCATCACCTTTTAATGCATGCTTCCCTGGCCACCCTGATCTGCTTAGTGTGCCTTGTTAAAGTTTACCCTTGACAATGCACCGTATGTTAACTAGTTTGTTTCTTTTTGTTGGAGCTTGTTTGCTTGCTGTTGGCTTGAATTTCACTTCCTTGCCAAGCAATTAGTTCTTTCTTTCATCGTGTTTTTATCTGAATCTTTAGCTGATTTTTAGTTGGCCTGTGGATTTAATCATTTAATGGGAACTTTCCTGTTCGTTTCCTTAAATGGCTTTAGTTCTTCACCTACAACTACACCGTGTCTTGTCTTTTGAGAGTTGCTGTCGTTCTTGAATCAAGTTGATTTGAGACTAGTGCTTTGCAGCTTCTAATAAAAATTCTTCCAGCTGCATCATGAAGCCAGCTCTCCATCCTTTGATTTTTCACCCAGCCATCTGGGACTTTGCTGTCAGGACATCCCCCTCCTTCAGACTTGTTCATCCTCACTAGTCTTCTGCATTATGCCATACTGCCTTATGCATACTTCCAATCTTTTGTGCCTCTCTTTGAAAAGCTTCCTATTGTTTTATTTCTGCCTAATCCTGAATATTTCTCTTGTGAGGTAAGTTTTTCTTCTGAAATCTTTTTCTTCAAATGCAGTCTCACTCTCTGTTCAGAACAGTTGTTAAAATCTGTACATTGTATATCTTTATTGAGAAATAACTGGAGCGAGTTAGTTTAAGAATGTGTGTGATTTATTGGTATTTTCATGAGCTTTTTCATTCAAGTTGGTAGTCCTGGGCTTTTTTTATTCCTCTACCCCCACCTCCTGAGGGTTTAAGATGTATCTAAGAAAAGAGATGTCTAACAATTATAGATCCCATCTGCTCTTGGATACTTCACGTTGAGCCTTTGGGAATAACTCTTTTTTAATAATAAGACTCTTAATCCTATAACCTCTCTCATGGTCACAGGCAGGCATGCCTGTAGAGTTCATAAGATAAACTTCCTTGTTCTCCCAACCTGCAGCATGACCCACTCAGAAAGGGATATTTTCCTTGAGGGATGATCCTGCATTATTAGGGTGAGCTGCATTCTGAGGCATTTTTCTGTCATCTTTGCACTGAAATGCAACAAAATTACTAATGGCACTATTAATCTGCCCAAATTTTGTGTAATGATATAAAATGATGGAAAAAATTACTGGTAACTTAAAGTCCACATTGATATCATCTTGTGACATTTTAATTATGACTCTGCTTCTGAATACTATTTTCAGTCCCTGAGTCACAAGTTGCTTACTACAGCCCAGCTTAGTTGCATACTGTGAAAGTATTTACTCTGCACTTCGCCAGCAGCTGTCCTTGTTCAGTAGTCATCCTTGAATTTTAAATAGGGCACTAAAACAGAAATTAATTTGAGATTAAGAATTTATTGCATTTATTCCAAAGGTGAGGAGAAATTTGAAGTTTCAGGCTTAGCTATATGACCTATAATCAGCATTTTCACAGATGTAAGGAAGGTGCAAAGGAATGACATAAACCCTTACCTTGGGGCAACTTACTTTAAAGTAGGATTACCTCTTGAAAGATGATAACATTGTGCAGGGGGTGCATCTAACATTCATTAATGTGCTTTTGGTACTTCACATTAAATTTAGTACCTCCGTTTTGAGGTTCTAGAAAAATACACATTAGCCTATTTTAATATGTATTGGTGAAAGCACAATTTTTAGTGGCACTTTAATACACATTAGAATAGGCCAAAGCACACATGTAGATGTGCCCAGGTGTAACTTAAGCCAGTATAAAATATAAGTGTTGTGTCTCTGCTATTATCCCAGGACAACAGTTTGTTATACCCCAGAAGTGGCCAGCCTATGGCACATATGCCAGAAGTGGCATGGATGGACAGCACAGCAGGAGGTAGGGCAGGGAGCAGAAAGCTGGACAGCAGATAGGCAAAGAGCACAGGGAAAGAAGCAGAAAGCAGAGCAACAGATCTGGCATGGGTAAGGCGATTGTAGTGGCATTAGGGAAGGGTATTGGGCTAATTTGTGGCGCACTGCCAAAAAGGTTGGCCCCTACTGCTTCCCTTCCACCTATCTGTGAGGTGCTGTAATAGCACCCGCTGTGAGCGCATAGCAGATAGAGATAATGTTTGTACAGATGTACCCAGTCTTTTGGTTGAGTTTGGCATTCCATACTTATTGGTTAGCGGTTTCCCTGAATACGCTATCGGATACTTTGCCATGCTAGGTTAATAACTTTTAGGCCCTTGCTATGTTACGTATGCTTCATGACTTTACATATATTACATATTTAACTGGTTAATAGCACAATGAATTTAGATTGGCCACACATGCAAAGTAATTATCACACAATTAACTAGTTACTCACGCAATAAATTTAGGCCAGCCATATGTACAAAGTAGTTATCACACAATAAAAATGACTATCCAGCTATAAAAAAGAGCCAACCAGCTATACAGTTAGTGCTTGAAAATGTGCAACAACTCCATAGATGGTTTCTGTCCAGCTTTAGTTTGAACATGTAGCAGGGCCCTTACTGTCCATCAGCTTTATTGTATGCTGAAACAGAATTCTTCCCTTAATTGTATTTTGTTTGATTTCAGTTCTGTTTTTGAAAAAGGATTTAGAATCAACAATTAATATTCTTGTTTGTCTCCAAGATCCTCTGAAACTTGTGCAGTGATATTGTGGTCTGATTTTGGGTGAACTCTTCTTATCTTTCAGGTAAATTTTGTCCTGGCTATATGGTAGATTACTTTTTTTAACTCAATGATTGGAATAATCCTTTCAGGTTAAAAAAAAAATGTATAAGGATATAATATCACAGGTGTTTTAGTGCTAACAAAAGATGGAATGTCCATCTCTCTCTCCTCTCCTCTATTGCATACATCTGAACAAATATTGCAAAGGGCATAAACTGGGCTTTATTTTCTCATATAAAAAACATACGAACTAACTACTTCCTTGACAAGATGACAGTGTTTTACAGCAGATGCAAAATATGTTTTGTCTACTTCTTCCTTCACTTGTCACAACTCTCTTAATATATATAAAACATTATAAAATGAGTATATTTTTCCCCCTAGATTTCAGTGGAAATAAAGTTAATGTAGAAAATGTTTATATAATACAGTGCATGACATCCTTCTATGACTAAATTAGCACAGCGCAGTGCAAATATAAATTCCTTTTTTTTTTTTTCTTTTCAGGATGCACTTGATATGCATACTAAAGTGAAATCATGAATTCAGCACTGCAAATTGTTACTATTTTTTTTCTGTTTAATTTCTTTATCTGATGCAATTGACCCTTTAGCACTAAATCTTGTTTTGAACAAAAAGCCTATGGGGACTCAGCCAAATTGAAGAGACTTCTTGGGTTAGCTTTTGAATGAATCGAGCACTGACTACAGTGCCTTCATTGCATCATTCCCTTTCAGCCATATTTGTTCCAGGTAAAGAATGGTATCAATCAGACATCCTGGTCCTTACACAAGCACTCTTGACCAGCTGTGAGACAGGTCTTTGGAAAGCAACAACATGTTAAATTAAATAGTTTTATTATTTTTGGGAATCAAATAAATGGGCTGAGTCCAAGTATAGCTTTAAAGATCTGTTTGAGGCCTGGAGCAAAATAATCTATTATGCGTTGCAAAAAAATGAAAAAAAAATCTGAAAAGAACTGGTGAAGGCATTGTTGATTTTATTTCAAGTTCTGGCTAAGAAGTACTCTTCCTAATGATACTGATACTGTTTTGGGAGGACTGAAAATTATGTGTGGGCATTTTACAAAGATAAGGAAAACCTTTCCAGATCTTTTATTTTGATCAACCCATAGTAAAACCAAACAAGCAAAAAAAAACAAACAAACCCCAAAGTATTTTATTAAAGACATATTGAGTGTGGGTTTGTCCCCAGAAAATTTAAGCAACAGTTCACAGGCAAACCATACATCTAACAAAGCAAGTGATTTGTTATTTAAACATTTAAAAAAAAAATCAGAACTGACAGCAATTGGAGCAAGTGACTAGGGACTGGACCTGGGTTCTCTTCCTATGACCTGTCGCTGAATTACTCTGTGTTTTTGGTCTGTCGTTAATCTGTAATGTGCCTTTGTTTGCTCGTTTTTAAAACTGGTCTTGTAAAGTGGCATTTGGCAGTTTTGTTAAATGTTTTGAGACCATCAGATGAAAGGTGCTATATCTGGCATGAAGTACTATTTATGTTATATTTCAAGTATTAGACGCATTGCAGACCTTAAAAGCACTCACCAGGAACTTTAGCAATGTTAATTATTGGTACACATTTTAGTTAGGCAGCTAACGATGAAGATCTCCACCCAGACTTGTATGTTTCTTGTTCTTTTCTATATCTGTGAAACCCATTTTCTGCTGAGCAGTTAATTTATTCACAGTTCTTAAAAGATGACACGGATTCTTATATTTAGATAAGTGACTTTTACACTGGAGAGAATGTATGCATATATTGACTTAACATAAAGCCAGGTGTTCACTATCTTGAAAACTGCGCCCCAGTATGTACTGCTACCATTATCCCTTTTATTCTAGTCAATACAAGTAAACTCGGAGAGTAACTAGCTAATGGCAGATAACCCCGCAAGATGTCTGAAATCACCTACCTTGAAAGCTTTAGGAGAAGCTAGCCTGTGTTGCTAGGTTTTGTGATGAAGTCAGATCTGAACGCACTGCAAACATTAACGATTTTCTCTTTGAAACACTCCTGCTGAGAGAGGGAAGTATTATCCTTGACTTTGATGGACAAGGGAAAGAATTGAACATGCATGCTGTATCCTGGGTCTCAGGCCACAGATGGGCATTCCTTTCTATTGGTAGATAAAGTCTGGAAGCAGGAGCCTGCCTGTCTTCCACCCCTTTGGAGAGCTACACAGACAACCTCTCTCTAGACAGTGGCACTATAGATAGGGTGACCATACATCCCAGTTTGGCCGGGACAGTGCTGGATTTTGTAGGCCATCCCAGCATCCTGGCCAGTTGGTGAAAAACTAAACAAAAGTCCCGTATTGGTGCCACCTCCCTGCTCTACCTGGGCCAGCTCCTTCTGGCCGGGCAAGACTGGGCACTGCTCCTCCTGCCTGGGGCAGGGATCAGCTGGTTGGGGTTCATGCCCTGGGTTTCCTTTAAAATAATATGATCACCCTAACTACAGAGGTCTGCTCAAGGGCCACTTTCACCCTTAGGAAAGCTCATTATTTGACAGCCTGTCCTCTCCTTTACTTCAGGAGGGGGTTTTCTCCCCCCCTCTCCCAGCTTTTAAAGCCTTGCATATGCAGCCTGTGCAGGATGCACTCTGGGATGACTTAAAGTCAGAGGTGGGGGGAAGGGGGGGCAGGGACAGCCTCTCTGATCACAGTTCCCTGCTTCCCAGTTTTTAAATTGTCATGTGTGCCACCCACCTGGGTGGCGTATGTGGCATTTAAAGCCTGTGAAGCTGGGTACCAGGGTGGGAAGAGCTTTCCTGGCCCTGGTTCCCAGCCGTGTTGGTTTTGAAATCGCTACCCGCACTGACCAGCTGTGCAGCTTTTAAAGCCCATGGGGTGGGGAACCAGGGCCAGTTCCTGGTTCTACAGGCTTTAAATGCTGCCTAGATTGGCTGGTAGCATTTAAAGTTGATAGGGTCAGGAACTGCCAAGTCAATATAATAGATAGTTCTTGGCAAGAATTGTTTTTTGGGAACTGTGCCTGTTGCCTGAAAGCTTGTCCAACAGCTGTCCAAACTATATAGTTGGGCCAGTACAAGTTACCCAAAAAGCCTTGCCTCAGCTATTACCTTGACCATCACAGCTACAAAAATTTTCCTCCCCTACTACAGTTTGGGATTAAAGGAAGTTTTGGTACTCTTTCTCTTCATAACTACAAATTTACCAAAGCTTAGTTTCCATCAGCCACTGTTGTCAGTATAAGACTGAGGCCACAGGCTGGGTCTGAGCTTAAAATGGCCTTTATTTTTCTACAGCCAATGCAGGAAGAAACGTTGGTTGTCTTTTAAAAAGATTGCAGTTGCCTCCCAACATTACTAGGGAAGGCAGCCTTGAGGTGAAGTTGGCAGAAGCCTCTTATGTCTTCTGAAGATAGATAGAGACATTATTGGAAGAGAGGTAGGAAAGTCTAAGGGGAGGAAGGGATGCTGAGGGAGGGCAGATGTATGCATGCACACAGGGATGTGGGAAAAGTTGAATGCAGGATGTCTGCAGTGAATCGGAAGGGCAGGAGACAGATGTGTGCATCTGAGGGAAGAACAAGGGGCAGGAGACGGGTTAGGAAGGGTTAGTATGGGAACAGATGTAAGACATGAGTCTATGGGAGTCTCCTTTGTGATGAGACATGGGGGTGAAAAAGCCATTGGTTGTCATTCAGCCATTGTTAATCTTGACAGTGAAGGAGACCTGGATTTGGAAGTATTATGACATATGCCGCTTAAACATTTGAAACCCTAACAAACACTTAAAAATTGTTAGGGTTTCTGCATACACCATGCCTAACAGTATATACCCTCTGCTCTTCCATCATAGACACCCACCTAAACATTGCCAGCTTAAATACACAATTCTGCACTTGAAAGCTGCCATCTTCTTAGGATCAACTTTGTCAAACTGTCACCTTCAAAAAAATGAAACTATAGTAAAATCTCCGTTATCCAGCATTTCACCAACTGGAATACTCTAACTGGAGTTTCCACCTGGCCAGATATGGATGGGGGGAGCTTGCACACAGTGGTGGCGGCTGCCACCTACCACCCTGCACTGCCGCCTCCCCTCCCCCCGCTCACGTTATCTGAAAACAGTGCTAGGTTATTTCAGCTAACTTAACCCCGGGATGCCGGATAACAGAGATTTTACTGTACTTCACCAAACGTCCACAACAAATATTACCATATTTTCTCGCATATGACAAACACCTTTTCCATCAAATTAGTTCCCCAAAATTGGGATTGGTGCATTAAGTGGAGGAACTGATTTTTCTGTCTGGGATGGAAGCACACTGCTTTGATTCTTATTCTACAGTGCAGCAGCTGTTTGCATTACTGTTCAGGCAGCTGAAGGAGTCAGTTGACTTAATGGCTTATGGTTCTTTCCAAAACCCAGGGAGACGAGGCTTCAGCAGCAGCTAGGGTTTGAACTTTAATTAAATAGGAAAGGGAGGGTGGGTCATTTGAAAATTAGACTCTGTCCTTGCTCCTTTGTGTAGCCATAACTCTAGAAAAAAAAATCTTCATTCTGCCTTTCAAAAACAAGGTACGTATTTTATTCAGTGATGTGTTCTATGCAAGAAAAGTTGGTATTTGGGAAGCATTGAAAGTTGAAGAGTAATCTTAATGTATTTAAAAAGTATTTCTCACAAAATTGTGCATGTTGGTTAATGAAAGCCAGAGCATTGTTACCTGTCCTGGATCTTCTTCTTACAACAGGGCATTTCTTGTACAGTGGAGAATAAATCTTAATCTTAGGTTTGAGATATTTTGGGAGCCAAGTTCAGCAGAAGTTTGTTGCTGTTACTTTGATTTGTGAATAGGTAAATTAAAATAAAATGTGCTGGTGGTTCACTTGGTTAATAGCATCACGTGGAATGGAGTAGAAAGGTTGCTTTTATGAAAGCAGAAAGTTGTTAAGTCTTTCGAGAGGGGAAGTCAGAGAGACCTGTAAAGAAGCCTGTGCTGAATAGTTGGGAGGCCCAATAGACAACTGTTCCTTTTTAAACCAAGGGAACATGCCCAAAAGATCTATTCAAGTAGGCCAGTAGCAGCTGTGGGGTAAATATTTTAAGTCTTGTTTACAAGGATTATTCTCCAGTATTTTCCCATTCATAGTTGAGTACGTGTGGAAACCATTGTGGATCTCCTCACAGGAAAGAAAGTATATGGACCTGAGATTAAAATATTACAGGTTTGGGAAGTGGACAGAGTACTCAGAAATTGTCTGGTTCCATTTGACTTATTCACCAGTTAAAAGCTCTTTTTTGCTGCAAGATTTTTTTTCCTTAGATGTTCAACATTTTTGTGGTGCTGATGGTTAAAAATGGCCAACTAATTCTGAAAGGTGAAAAATACTGCATTTTTGATGTCTCATTCTAAGGCAGCATATAGAATGAGAGAGAAGGCTGAATAAAGAGATACTACCTGCATTTTCTTTGTAAAGTAAATTTTAGAATACTCTGCTTTCTGACCCCCCTATTCATCTGATGTTTTCCAAAGCAGGTATATATGTGTGTCTAATCCAACTCTGTTTTATTTATAGGAGAACAGAGTTGTATTTAAAATGGAAGTTGATATAAATGGAGAGTCCAGAACCACTGTATCTACCCTTCCCTTACCTGTTGCAGAGGTGAGTTCTACAGGCAGGGCAGAAGCAGAGAAACCTCGATGTTCCAGTACCCCGTGCTCACCAATGCGACGAACTGTTTCAGGTTATCAGATCCTCCATATGGATTCTAACTATTTGGTTGGCTTCACAACTGGGGAGGAGCTCTTGAAATTAGCCCATAAGTGTACAGGAAATGAGGAAAATAAATCAGAATCTGGACCTACCTTACGATCCAAACAACTTGATTCAGGACTTCCCCGTTCATCCCGGTTGTACAAAACAAGAAGTAGATACTACCAGCCATATGAGATCCCAGCTGTAAATGGAAGGAGGAGACGACGGATGCCCAGCTCAGGGGATAAATGCACTAAGGCTTTACCATATGAACCCTACAAAGCACTTCATGGTCCTCTGCCTCTTTGTCTTCTGAAAGGTAAGAGGGCTCACTCTAAATCCCTGGACTACCTCAATTTAGACAAAATGAACATCAAGGAACCGGCTGACACAGAAGTGCTACAATACCAGCTCCAGCATCTGACCCTACGAGGGGACCGTATGTTTGCTAGAAACAACACATGAGCTACCATTTGGAAGTTAAAGCCAATTCCTGGTTATTTCTTTGTTGCTGCAAAACTCCACTGTTGTACTGTGTACATGACTGTCCACATCGTAGGTGGTTGTATCAGCTAAGTGTTACTGGAACGTAATTTATTTGAATACAATTTTGACAAAAAATGTCTCAAGCATTTGGAGGAAAAATTTTTCCAGAGCAAGCAACTTCTGAAGAAAATCTGACTGTAGTTGGTGGGCATTTCTTTGGGGACCCTTTTTAACAAAGGAACAGCTTTTTTGTACAGGTATATCTAATATTTATGGTGATTTGACACTCCAGGATTGGTGAGAATGTCTAGTTGGTTATTGCTAAAAATTTGACTTGCTACTGGAAATTGCTCTTGGATAAGCACTCAAGTTCTCCTTTTATTGCTTTGTGTATTTTACAATAAGATATGCATATGATTTGTTATACTATAGAAAAGAATGTGAACCTGGCTGAATTGGACCATGTTATTTAAAACAGTCCAGTTTAAACCTTTTGTAACTGGTTTTTGCACTGGAAAAAGAAGTCTGATTGAAAAAATAAACCTTTGTTCATTTGCTATTTAAAAATTGAACAATTATTTTTTAGTTTCCACATGAAACTAGTTGCTTCTCTTCTTTCCTTTTGTTTTTATAAACTTTATTGAGTAAGCCTTTGGAATATTAGGAAAATAAATCATTCTGAAAGTGATTTTTTTTTTTTTAATTTGGATAGGTGTAATTTCATTTTTACATGTCTTTACATATAAGCAAGGACCCACTTTAGATTCCAGAATATAGATTAGAATATCTTTATTAGTATGAATGAAATTTTTTATTTTTGTCATGATTTCTAGGATATATATTTAAAAATATGGTAAGTGTTAAAACCACAACTTTTAGCACTGCTTTTGGAAATTACAGGTTTATTTGCAGCACTTTTATTGGAAATCCAGATGGCCATCTTAGCTTGAAGGTCAAAAAATGCTTCTTTACACTGTAGCCTTGAAGCACTGATCTTGGATTATCTAACAGACTATATTAAATGCACTGGTTTTATTTTTTTTTTCCTTAAGGAATTACATCCAAATATAATATCAAATGCAGTTTTGACAATTGCAGTCTTAAATATATTTGGAAAATATTAGCTTACCTTTGTAAAAGCGTTATTATTGCTCTTTTCTTAAAGGTGCAGTTCTTACTGAAACAGTATGCAGCCATGCTTGTTTTGGACAATGCATTCTTTAGAGGTTAAAGATATTAAAATAAGAGCCTTGTCTATGAAATAAAAAAAAAATGAAGTTGGTCAGCCTTTTCTGGCACAATTATGATTTTTCTTCAGAATGAATAGAAAGCACTAGTGCAGAGCATGTTGTGGAAAATGAAGAATGTCTTTTATTCTTTCACTTATTCCACAGTTGTAGTTGGCTACAGTAAAGAAGAGCCTGTGGATAGTGTGCATCTTGCTGGTTTGGTTAATTTTTTTTTAGGCATAGTAGAAATCTTTACAGCTGATGTATATTTTAAAATAAACTGCACCTCTGTAAATTTACTGTATTGAAGAATGATCTCTAAGGTAAACTCTTCCTATATGGTCTTTACTTTGAGAAACAGAATACTGTCAGATGCCAAAGAGAGAAGGGTTTTACATTTAAGGATTAAACACCCCTATTTATTGATTTACCCTATGAAACTGTATTTCTGGCTACAAAATAAAAGGGTGATATAAACACATACTGTTGTGGAGTGCTTTGGTGTGTGGAAGAATGAGAGGAAAATAATATATGCAACATTTAAAAAAATCACAAGTTTTGGATCAATGTGAAATATTTATAAGGTCTGGTTTCTGAACATCCTATGTGCAATTGTAAGTACATGTTTATATATTCCACTACTGCAGTCTCTAGCAGTGTGGACAGGAAAGTATGTACCTGGCTAAATGCCAGCAGGAAGAATGAAATGAGCACATGTGTTTTTTGGGGTTTTTTTATCCTTTTGCTCATAAAAACAACAAATATTTGTGCTTGTTCATAGTAATGGTGTGTACCAGGTAAGTATGCAATTGCACATGCCTTTGTACATTCACAATTGAGTGCCAACATTTTGGAAATTGGGCTTCTGTTATGCTCATTCAAGATTTCAAAGGCCTTTAAGTAAAAATCTTAAGCCTGTGAAAACTGGGCTGTTTTTGCTTGCTTTATTCATTGTCTAGGAAAGAGGGCATAGTCTGTTAAACTCCAAACATCTACTGAAATGCAATCTGAATAATGCTGAATCGTGAAAGTGAGATCCTTACAAGGTATTCTGAATGCAGAACATAAGCACACATCTTGCATATATTTTTTTGTAGATTAGTACATAAAAAATAATCTTACCTGAGAGAATAAAGTATTGTCTATGAGTCTAAGAGGTTTGTTTAGAAGTAGAAAAGTAGAGGCAAAAGGGTAATAATGTAATCTTTGCCTTGTGCAGGGCCAACAGAACAAAAAAAAACAGGCTAGATATAGAATATGAATGCACAACTAGCTTATTTGTATGTTGAGGCAGGCCCTAAACTTTTGGGTGGTTGTTCTACCTTTTGAAATCTACAGGAATGACTGGCTTCACTCAAAGCACAGCTGAATGTTGTTTATTTATGGAAGTGAATAGGGTTCGTGCCCACGTTTTGCCTACAACATTATCTCAGCCATAGACCATCATCATCATAAAGAGGGTTCAAAATGCAGCCCTGCCCTTCAGTAATAATCCTTTTGGTCAAACTTTTGACCATAGAGGCAAAATAATTAGAAATATTAAAAAAGTGCTCAAAAGTCTAACCAAATAAATTGACCTGTGGTATGATGTCAAGCTTGCCCCCCTGGATTTTTTGACAGGCAAAAGATGCAGTCATGGATGCAACCCAGTTAAAAGGTGGTTTAGCATTGATTTTAATGGAATCAAGATTGCTTCCAGGGAGCTCTAAGGCTTTCCTTCTGAGGACCTCAAAAAAACAGATTGGGGAGGCAGATTTCCTGTGCAGACCCAACTGTTGCCTTGGGGCATATGAAAGGAGGCAGCCTCCTTAAAAAAAAAAAAAAAAAAAAAAAAAAAAATGGAAAGCCTTAAAATATATTATGGTATTCTTGAAAGCCACCCTGAAGTGGAAAGCCAGTATCATATGTAAAGCACAGGTGCTAGGTATTGGTAAGGAACAAGCTCCCTAAAGGCTATATGCTCCAACCAAAAAATCCCTAATTCCTGTTACTCGGTTGGCTTTTCTTTTCCACTGCATCGCACCAGACTGCTTAGCTGTTTGGCCTGTGCCTGTCTTCCCTATGTGTTGTTGAGCTATTGATCTCCATCAGTGAAACCAAACTTTGCTGTCTATTTGTCAAGCTTTAGGTCCTTAGCATCCATTCCCTTACTATCCTTATGCTATAAAAAACAATAAAGCCATCACACTATTCTCTTCCAAATAACTCCTTAAATCCTACCTTTGCTAAAACAGGCGGTGTTTTGTAGATAATGGATATGATATGGTGTCCTTATAAAAAAATTGCTTGACTCCTACTTTGTGATCCTCATATTCTCTGTCCATTTGTTGCACAGAGAATCAAGTAGGGAGGAGGTTTTTTTAACTGTATGTGTTAATGTCATATGACAGGTTGATGGAGAACATACAAAGTATTACACCTTAAATTCTGTATGCATGATTTTAGTATTTCATCATGGATGTAGAGAATAATGGGAGACAAGCTACAGTTTTTAAGAAAATGACTAGAGATTATCTGGGAGACTAGATACCTGCAAGTAGTAGAATCCAAAACCTTAGTCATATTGGACAAGAGACCACACAGCTAGAGAAATATGAACTGACAAAAACCAATCAGCCAAGTTTACCATGTCAGATTACTGCTGAGAACATAGTACAGAATAACCTCATAAATCTGGCGTGCTTGGGACTGAGCACCTGCTGGAAATTTGGAAACGCCAGATTTTTTTTAAGCCACCGCGTTGGCCAGTCACGGAGTGGGCGAGAGTGGGTAGCAGCAGCTGGTCCCAGAGCAGTGGCAGCTGGTAGCATGCAAAGCGGCAGCACGGGGTGGTGAATGGTGGCAGTATCCGTTGCGTGCAAGCTTCCCTCTCTGCATCTGGCAGGGTGGGGGGAAGTAGTGGCCAGTCCCGGAGCGGCAAGGAAAAGTGCCGGATTTTTGCTAATTATGGATTTTTGATACCTGGATTTATGAGGTTATACTGTAGCATAAATCTATGGATTGTAAAAATTTAATTGGGTTTCAAAATGTGTTTTCATCCAGTGAGAAGCAAGAGATTACAGTTTACCCTTGGACTCCTTAAATGCATGTGATAGATTAAACAAGTGGCATTAAGAAGTGTTAAAAGTAGAAGGGAAATATAAGAGAGCTGGGGAGCTGAGCTGTGTGGGACTATGAAGGTCACTATGGTAGCTTAAGAATTTCCAAATCTGTAACTGAATCAAAAGTATCACTGCTGTCCTTTCCAAGCTTTCCAATGACACCAAAGAAGAAACAATATAGAGGAACATGATCAAATCCAGAAATCCTGGATATGCATCAGGTTGGTCTGGGTAAAGTATAAATTCAGGTTGATTTTTCAAGTATAAGTTTAAGAAGGATATATGTCAAAGAGAAACATGAAAAAACCTGCTAAGAGGGTACGTGAAAAACATAAGGATAAAAACCCAGAAAAAGAAAAAATCCTCATGATGGAGTGTTATAAACTAAACACTTGGAAGCTTGTTAAAAGTAGTGAATGTTACAAAACAGCTGATCTGACCTGGAAATGCAGCCATCAAAAAAGAATACAGAAGAAAGACGCCTGAATCTAGAAAGTAAAGAGAAAGTAAGGCAAAATCAACATGCAGCAATAGTAACTTTAAAAATATATAGAAACTTTCCTGCCAGAAAGAGACGCACATTTCCCTAGGTGTGTAGATGACAAGCATGTGATTTTTATCCACTGCGGTATTTGATATATTTATCTCACTAATTTTTTACTGCATTATTTCACTCTTATCTTGGTAGGATTTATTCCAATATTCCAAATCCCCAAGCAGCTTCAACAGCCTGCTTTTTTCAACACTCATCTGCCAGAGAAATACTTCATCCATCTCTCCTAGTCCAAATGTAGAGCACCTGCTCCATCCCTTAGCTACCCTATAACAAATTCTGTCAGGTAAGAATTCTGCTTTTTTTTTATATAGGTGCCTCAGAAACCTTCAGGACTACAAACAAGCTTTTTTATCCTTTTGACAGGGGAGGCATACCAGACTTCAAACTATAATGTATTTACTCATGGAAATGCTATTTAGGTCACATTTCAGTGGTTTTACCAATATTTGAAGCTTTCTCTTCCTCTAAACCCTGAGCAGCTGCACTCATACTAACTGACACCAAGCTTTCTGTGTGTGATGGATGCAAGAAATAAATACATGAAATGTCACAGATCCATGGTGCATTGTAAGGAGCTTCTTTATCTCATCATAGAAACTCCACCTCTTGAGATTTCATTCAAAACTTGCTTGCATCCTGTAGTAGTGTTCAAAGTAAAATAAAGAATTGCTTTATAAGGAT